AGCGAAGGGGCCGCGACCTGCGACCCCGCGACCCTGCAGCAGCCGGCGCCGCTCGTCCTCTCGTGGCCCCCGACCCCTCCGCCCGACGGCACCGTGCCGGCCCCCAACGACGACGAGGGGCCGCGCGGTGGCGGGGGGCTCTACGACGAGGTGCGGCCGCTGGCGCAGGTGAGGACGGCGGCGGCGGCGGTGACGGTGACGACGACGGTGACGACGACGGTGACGATGTCAACGGCGACGGTGGCAGTGGCGGTGACGATGACAGTGATGACGACGGTGATGACGACGGTGGCAGTGGCGGTGACGATGACAGTGATGACGACGGTGATGACGACGGTGGCAGTGGCGGTGACGACGACGGTGACGACGTCAACGGCGACGGTGTCAGTGGCGGTGGCGACGACGGTGATGACGACGGTGATGACGACGGTGATGACGACGGTGATGACGACGGTGACAACAGCGACGGTGGCAGAGGCGGTGACGAAGACAGTGACGACTACGGCGGCGGCGGTGACGACGATGGCGATGACGATGAAGGTGGCGACCAGGGTGGCGGCAGTGAAGACGACGGTGATGGTGGTGGTGACGACGACGGTGGCGACGACGGTGATGGTGGTGATGGTGGTGGTGACGAACGGCAGTGGTGACGGTGGTGATGGTGGTGATGACGATGGTGATCGTGATGGGGATAATGATGACGGTTGTGGTGGTGGTGGTGGTGATGGTGGTGGTGGCGGTGGTGGGTGATGATGGGTTCATGGGGCAGTGCGTTAACCGCTACACTACACACTCACACACTCATACTTACACAGTTACACTCTCACACTCTCACACACACACACACTTACACACTCACACACTCATACACTCACACTTACACTCTTACACTCTCACACTCACACGCTCACACACAACAACAACAACAACCGCCATTCGCCACTAAGTGGCGGTGACGTCACCACGACGCTTGTGCCAGGCTATGTGCACCCCGAGGCCACGTGAAGAGTCGAACGCCCGCTGGCAGGAGGTCACGGGGCAGACCCAGGTGCCACGGGTCGACTGACTGAGATGACTGGCTGATGCACCACCTGTGCCCCCTATTGTGGCAACCTGCTGTGCTTTAGCTACCCGGCGCTTCGCTCGTTGTTCTGAGCGTCGCTCCTCCGCCCTCCGTTGTTGTTGGAGGGCGACTACCTCCAACTGCCCAGTAGCATCCTTCACGAGCCTCCTCCACAGAGGCCGATCTTGACACCGCTGGTAACAGTCATCGGCAGGTCCACCCAGCTCCACGTCCTCCTGTACCACATCACTCCATCTCTTCTCTAGCCCGTGCCGCGCCCGCTTTGCCCCCTCAATCTGGCCGAACAAAAGTTGTTTCGGCATGCAGTGGCTGGGCATGCGGGCTACATGACCCAGCCATCGCAGCCTTGCCCGCCGGAGGAGCTCACCGATGGGACCTTGCCCAGATCTTTCAAGGATTTGTGAGCTCCTCACACAATCCAGTCTGGTTAAACCCAGGATGGATCGTAGGCAGGCCAGCCTGAATGTTTCTAACCGGCGAAGATGTTCCATTAGGGGGGGTCCACGTTTCGCAAGCGTAGAGAAGGGAGGGAATGACCGTGGCCGAGAAGACCTGAAGCTTAGTGCGGAGCGACAGACCAGGTAGCTTCCACACAGCGTTACGCAACCGATGAAAAGATATTGCCGCTCGATTGATTCGGAGTGAGACCTCTGCTGTTAAACTGGAGCAAGTCATAAGCACACTGCCCAGGTATGGGAAACTCTCCACTCTCTCCACAACTGCCCCATCACCGATTGGGAGTTGTGGGGGTGGAGTGTCCGATGGTACAAAATACCCAGGCAGGTGCTTAGTTTTGGTGGGGCTGATGGTAAGGCCCCACCTCTTAGTGGCACGCTCCAGTCTCAGCAGCAGCGTCTCCAACTCCTCCTCTGACTGAGCAGCTATTACCAAATCATCAGCATACATAACGTGGTTGAGCAATAGGGAGCCATCCCTTGACCGCACCCTGGGCATCGATCAGCCTCCCATTATATCTGTACCATATGGAGATTCCCCCGGTACAGCTATTGAAGGCTTCACGAACTACGTGGTCAAAATAGATGTTAAATAATGTGGGAGCCAGATGACATCCCTGTCGCACCCCAAGGTGTACAGGGAATGGTTCTGACTCCCGGCCACGTAGTTTTACGCGGGCCCGCTCACCATCATGAAGGTCCTTAATGATCATGAGCAGAGGGTCAGGGACTCCAAAAGCACGAAGAACAACCCAGAGCCCAGGCCTACTGATGGTATCATAGGCCTTGACCAGGTCAATAAAGCAGAGATGTAGGTCTTCTTGGAATTCCCTACACCTCTGCTGTAGCAGACGGACAGAAAATATGGCATCTGTGCAGGAACGCCCTTTCCTGAAACCGCATTGGGGCTCCGCAAGCCTCTCCTCAGCGTGCCTGGCAAGGCGATGCTGAATAATCCTTGCCAGGACCTTTCCCGGCACACTGAGGAGTGAGATGCCCCTGTAGTTGTTAGTCTGTGCGGTCCCCCTTCTTAAAAAGGGGGACCACCAGGGCATCCTTCCAATCCTGCGGAACCCGTCCAGTGGTCCAGACCGTTGTTATGATGTCATATAGGGCAGTCTGTGCACAAACGCCACCCTCCCTCAGCATTTCGCTTGGGAGACCATCTCTGCCCGCTGCCTTTCCTGGTGTCAGACTCCGGATCGCCTTCAGTACTTCCTCAACAGATGGCACCTCAGCCAGCCACTCACAGGGGGTGACTTCTTCCAATATTTGAGGCACCGCAGCCTCAGCAGGGTCATCCTCACTTTGTGCCACGATGTTTTCCTGGCTGAGGGATTTTCCCTCCCCCAGGACCTCACAGAAATGCTCAGCAAATCTGAAAACCTGTTCCTGGGGGTCGGAGATTGGATCACCGTTTTTTCCCCTAATGATGGTAATAGGTGTGGCGCTGCAGGTTACTTTTTTGATGGAGTTAAATCGAGATTTGTGATCACGGGCCACTGAGGCAGACTCCATCTCCTCAGCAACCCGCGACCACCACCCATCTTTGCCGCGCCTCACGGCTCTCCAAACCTCCGAGCGAAGGCTGCGGTAAGCCGCCTCATTCTCTGACGTGGGATTCTGTAGCCGATGACGGTGGGCCTGTCACTTTTTCTCAACCATCCTGAACACCTCCTCTGTCAGCCAGGGTCTCTGGGGAGGTCTGGACTGCGTACCCAAAGCAGCCATTGCAGCTGCATGAGTCACAGTCCTAAACCTAGCCCATTTACCCTCGACATCAGGAGGAGTCGGGGACGATGCCAATCCCAGCCGCAAGCGATGATGAAATTCTCACTTGCAACTTTCATCAGATAACTGAGACCAGGCCACTTTAGGTTGGAATGGGGTCCTGGGTGTACACCCACCACCGGAGTGGAAGAATGGCAGGCGCATCTTACAGATGACTAGTCGATGGTCAGAGGGCAGATCAGCTCCACGGTAGGTCCTGGTGTCAAGGACATGGGCTCGCTTCCGCTGGTCCGTCACTATGTAGTCCAGCAGATGTTCTTGCTTGGACCCGGCATGCATCCATGATGTTGTGTGGATGCGCCGATGCCGGAACAGCGTGTTGGTAATTACAAGCCCATGGGCTGCACAAAAATCTAGCAGCCTCCTACCGTTGTTATTGAGCTGATCTGGCCCATGCCCTCCAATCACTCCAGACCAGGTGCCAGCATCATGACCAACTCGGGCATTAAAGTCACCCAACATGATGACTCTATCCCGAGGGGCCACTTTAGCCAGCACCTGTGACAGGAGGTCATAGAAGGCATCTGACTCATCGGCTTTGCCTGCATCCCTCCACGGATGTTCATCTTCGGTGGGGGCATAAGTAACCACGACCACCATTCCTCGCCTCCTGTTGATGGGAAGGCGAGCCCAAAGTAGCCTGGGGCTTACAGCTTCCCACATCTCACCGCCACGCTCCCACGCCTCCTTCATTCTTTTGTTCAAAAGAAGAGCCACACCCTGTTGTTTGGCAGTCTGCTGCCCCGAGTAGAGGACTGTCCACCCCTCATGGTGGCAGGAGCCAGAGCCGGTCCACCGGACCTCCTGAATGCCACATAGATCCAGGCGGTACCGGTCCAGCTCCCGACAGAGGAGTGGCAGCCTCTCCTCCGCAGTGAGCGTTCGAACATTCCACGTGGCCACCCGTAGTGGTTTTTCGTTGTTTCTGGAGGAGCCCCGAGGGTAGATATTCAATCTCCTGGCTCCGCCAATTGAGGTTTGGCCAGGAGACGTCATAGACGCCTGGCCCCCCGGGGCCTCCAGTACAAGCTTATTAGTTACATATTTCAGTTTAACTCGTGATTTAGTGGTAATTAATTGAAGGTGGAGGGGTTACCAGCCCCTCGCACCCGTCCAGAGCCCCCGTTTAGCCCCTGTGGTGGACACATGCCATGAGGGGAGGATCCAATCAAAATTGGGCCTCCTCCCACAGCACTGTCCACGACAGAGTTGCCCGTCCGGCACCGCGAGGAGGTAGGGGGTTGTTTTTGCCGGACTACACACACACTTACACACTCATACTTACACACACACAATTATACACTCACACTTACTCACAATTACACACTCACACTCTCACACTCACAGACTTACACACACAGACTCACACTTACACACTCACACTTACACACTCACACACTTACACACACACAATTACACACTCACACTTACACACTCACACAATTACACACTCACACGTACACACTCACAATTACACACACACTTACACACTAACGCAATTATACACTCACACAATTACACACTCACACTTACACACTCACACTTACACACTCACACACACAGACTCACACACTCACACAATTACACACTCAGACTTACACACTTACACTCTCACAATTACACACTTACACACACACACAGACTCACACACTCACAATTACACACACAGACTCACACACTCACTCAAGCCCTGGTTGCCCCCCCCCCCACAGACGCTGCGCGTGAGGCTGCCGGTGCCGGGCTCGTCGCTGCGCCTCTCCTACCGCAGTGACGGCGCCCCGGCGCGCCGCTCGCTGCTTCGGCTGCTGCTGACGCCGCCGGTGCCGCCGCCGCGCCTCGCCGCCGTGCGGCTCCTCCTGGCGGTGGAGGGGCGGCTGCTGGAGCGGCGCTTCCCGCCGGCGCCTCGCCTCGCCCACACCCTGGCCTGGGACCGAACCGACGCCTACGGCTCGCGGGTCTACGGCACCGCACACGCCGTCGGTACGGCGGTGGGGGGGGCGTGTGGGGTGAGCTATGAGTGGTCGCTGTCTCTGTCTGGCGGTGAGGGTGGGCTATGAGTGGTCGCTGTCTCTGTCTGGCAGTGTGGGTGGGCTATGAGTGGTCACTGTCTCTGTCTGGCAGTGAGGATGGGCTATGAGTGGTCAATGTCTCTACCTGGCAGTGAGGATGGGCTATGAGTGGTCAATGTCTCTGTCTGGCAGTGTGGGTGGGCTATGAGTGGTCACTGTCTCTGTCTGGCGGTGAGGGTGGGCTATGAGTGGTCACTGTCTCTACCTGGCAGTGTGGGTGGGCTATGAGTGGCCGCTGTCTCTGTCTGGCAGTGTGGGTGGGCTATGAGTGGTCACTGTCTCTGTCTGGCGGTGAGGGTGGGCTATGAGTGGTCACTGTCTCTACCTGGCAGTGAGGGTGGGCTATGAGTGGCCGCTGTCTCTGTCTGGCAGTGTGGGTGGGCTATGAGTGGTCAATGTCTCTGTCTGGCGGTGAGGGTGGGCTATGAGTGGTCACTGTCTCTGTCTGGCGGTGAGGGTGGGCTATGAGTGGTCACTGTCTCTACCTGGCAGTGTGGGTGGGCTATGAGTGGTCACTGTCTCTACCTGGCAGTGTGGGTGGGCTATGAGTGGTCACTGTCTCTGTCTGGCAGTGAGGGTGGGCTATGAGTGGTCACTGTCTCTACCTGGCAGTGAGGGTGGGCTATGAGTGGTCACTGTCTCTACCTGGCAGTGAGGGTGGGCTATGAGTGGTCACTGTCTCTGTCTGGCAGTGAGGGTGGGCTATGAGTGGTCACTGTCTCTACCTGGCAGTGTGAGTGAGCTATGAGTGGTCACTATCTCTACCTGGCAGTGTGGGTGGGCTATGAGTGGTCACTGTCTCTGCCTGGCAGTGTGAGTGAGCTATGAGTGGCCACTGTCTCTGTCTGGCAGTGTGAGTGAGCTATGAGTGGTCACTGTCTCTGCCCGGCAGTGTGGGTGGGCTATGAGTGGTCACTGTCTCTGCCTGGCAGTGAAGGTGGGCTATGAGTGGTCGCTGTCTCTGTCTGGCAGTGACGGTGAGCTATGAGTGGTCGCTGTCTCTGTCTGGCAGTGTGGGTGGGCTATGAGTACGCGGGCTGTGCCGAGCTGGTGCTGTGGGAGCGCCGTGCGGTGGAGCTGCCGGCGTTCCCCCTGGAGCCGTCCGGGATCGCCGGGTGGAGCCTGGAGCCGCACCACGCCCTGGACGTGCCCAGCGGTGCGCCCACACCCCACGTGTCCTCCCCCCCCACTCCATGTCTCCTCCTGTGTCTCCCCGTGTCTCCCCCTGTGTCTCCCCGTGTCTCTCATGTCTCCCCACGTGTCTCCCCGTGTCTCCCATGTCTCCCCACGTGTCTCCTATCTCTCTGCCCACGTGTCTCCCCACGTGTCACCCCGTGTCTCTCATGTCTCCCCACGTGTCTCCCCGTGTCTCTCATGTCTCCCCACGTGCCTCCCCACGTGTCTCCCCGTGTCTCCCATGTCTCCCCACGTGTCTCCCCGTGTCTCCCATGTCTCCCCACGTGTCTCCCCGTGTCTCCCATGTCTCTCCCCGTGTCTCCTATCTCTCTGCCCACGTGTCTCCCCACGTGTCTCCCCATGTCTCTCATGTCTCCCCGTGTCTCCCATGTCTCCCCACGTGTCTCCCCGTGTCTCCTATCTCTCTGCCCACGTGTCTCCCCACGTGTCTCCCCGTGTCTCCTATCTCTCTGCCCACGTGTCTCCCCACGTGTCTCCCCGTGTCTCCCATGTCTCCCCACGTGTCTCCCCGTGTCTCCCCATGTGTCTCTCCGTGTCTCCTATCTCTCTGCCCACGTGTCTCCCCACGTGTCTCCCCAATGTCTCTCATGTCTCCCCGTGTCTCCCATGTCTCCCCACGTGTCTCCCCGTGTCTCCTATCTCTCTGCCCACGTGTCTCCCCACGTGTCTTCCCATGTCTCCCCGTGTCTCCCCACGTGTCTCCCCACGTGTCTCCTATTCTCTCTGCCCACGTGTCTCCCCACGTGTCTCCCCACGTGACTCTCTCCCTTCCTCTCCCCTTCCCTCCTCCCCCCAGGCATCCTTCACCGTGGCGACGGCTCCTCGCTGTCCCTGCGCTCGCGCCCGCCGCTCATCTCCACGCTCGTCGGCACCGGCCGCCGCCGGCCCCTCTCGTGCCCGGCGGCGCCCGCCGGGGGGACGCCCTCGGCGGCCGGGGCGGCGGGGGGGGGGGCGACCCCACCCCCGCCGGCGGGGGGCTGCCGGGGCCCCGCCGAGTCGGCGCGGCTGCTGGCGCCGGTGGCGCTGGCGTGCGGCGCGGACGGCGCCGTCTACGTGGGGGACTACAACTTGGTGCGGCGCGTGGAGCCCGCGGGCAACGTGAGCACCGTCATGGAGCTCAGGTGAGCGGGGGGGGGGGGCGGGGGGAGCAGCAAGGGGTAGACGCGGAGTCATGGGGAGACACGCGGGGAGACACAGGGAAGCAGAGGGAGACACAGGGACTCGTGCGGAGACACGGGGAGATACATGGTGAGACACGCGGGGAGACGGGAGACACGCGGGGAGACACGGGGAGACACGCGGGGAGACACGGGGAGACACACGGGGAGACACAGGGACTCGTGCGGAGACACGGGGAGAAACATGGTGAGACACGCGGGGAGACGGGAGACACGCGGGGAGACACATGGGGAGACACGGGGAGACGGGAGACACGGGAAGACACACGGGGAGACGGGAGACATGGGGAGACACGCGGGGAGACAGGGGGTATGAGGAGAGAGACACGGGTGAGAGACACGGGAGAGGGACGCTGACCACGTGATGCTCACCCACTTTGTGTCTCCTCCTTCCCGCGACGCGCTCAGAAGCCGGGAAGTGAGACACAGGTACGCCCGGTGACACGTGTGTGTGTGTGTACACGTGTGTGTGTGTACACGTGTGTGTGTGTACACGTGTGTGTGTGTGTACACGTGTGTGTACACGTATGTGTGTGTACGCGTGTGTGTATACATTTCAGTCATAGTTTAGTGGTAATTAATTGAAGGTGGAGGGGTTACCAGCTCCTCGCACCCGTCCAGAGCCCCCGTTTAGTTTAGCCACTGTGGTGGTCACAGACGCCATGAGGGGAGGAGCCAATCGGAATTGGCTCCTCCCCCCACCGCATTGTCCACGACAGAGTTGCCCGTCCGGCACCGCGAGGAGGGAGGGGGTTGTTTTGCCGGACGTGGCCTGAAGGTGCACATAGCCTGGCACAAGCGTCGTGGTGACGCCACCGCCACTTAGTGGCGAATGGCGGTTGTTGTTTACATGTGCGTGTGTGAACCCGGCGACCCGGGTTCGATTCCCGCTCACGGCCACCAGCACCGGTGGCGATTATCTAAACCGTTCCTGGGCCTCCCCTAGATCGACTCAGCCTCAAATGAGTACCTGGTGCGGTGTGCAGTAGTAAAACATCGCCACCGGTGAGACAAAGGCGGCCGGTCGTGGTGTTGGCCACCCACCCCCCTCGCGCGCCGTTCCGGCCTTCGTAGGTGCTGCTCTGCCAGCAGCAGCACTTGCCCCTACGGTCTAGTGAAAGGCTACCTGGGCGGGTGTGTGGGACCCCCTTTGCCTCCGTGACCCCCGCAGCGCGTCGCCGGCGCACAAGTACTACGTGGCCGTGTGCCCCGTGACGGGCGCCGTCATCGTGTCGGACGGCGCCACGCGCCGACTCTACCGCGTGCCGCCGGCGCCCCCCCCGGCGGCGGGGGGTGGCGGGGGGTGGGGAACGCCGGAGGTGCTGGCCGGCACCGGGGAGCAGTGCCTGCCCATGGACCCCGGCAGGTGCGGCGACGGTGGGGCGGGCACCGCCGCCAGCCTCACCCAGCCACGCGGTAAGAGAACGCGTTCGCGCTCGCTCGCTCACTCACTTGCTAACTCACTCGCTCGCTCACTCGCTCACTCTCACTCACTCACTTGCTAACTCACTCGCTCACTCGCTCACTCACTCACTCACTCTCACTCACTCACTCTCACTCACTCACTCTCACTCACTCGCTCGCTCACTCACTCTCACTCACTCTCACTCACTCTCTCGCTCACTCACTCACTCTCACTCACTCGCTCACTCACTCACTCTCACTCGCTCGCTCACTCTCACTCACTCACTTGCTAACTTACTCACTCGCACACTCACTCTCACTCACTCTCACTCACTCACTCACTTGCTCACTCACTGACTCGCCCACACATTCACTTGCTCACTCACTCACTCTCACTCACTCACACACTTGCTAACTCAATCGCTCACTCACTCACTCACACACTCGCTCACTCACACACTCGCTCACTCACTCGCTCACTCACTCACTCACTTGCTCACTCGCTCATACACTCGCTCACTCACTCACTCGCCCACACATTCACTCGCTCACTCACTCACACACTCACTCACTCACATACTTGCTCACTTACTCGCTCACTCACTCGCTCACTCACTCACTCACACACTCGCTCACTCACACACTCGCTCACTCACTCGCTCACTCACACACTCATTCACTCACACACTCGCTCACTCACTCACACTCACACTCACACACTCGCTCACTTAATCACTGGCTCACTCACTCGCACATTAGCACCTACGAAGGCTGGCACGGCCATGTGGCCCCCTTCCACCCACCATGCCCCCCTGGTTCCCCCCCCACCCTCTCCCTTGCCCCTCCCCCCCATGCGGTCCCCCCCCCCGTGCCCCCCCCCCCCCCAGGCGTGGCGGTGGACGAGCGGGGCCTCGTCTACTTTGTGGACGGCAGCTCGGTGCGCCGTGTGGACCAGAACGGCGCCATCTCCACCGTGCTCGGCTCCACCGGCCTCGCCGCCGCCTCCGCCCGCCCGCTCAGCTGCGGGGACTCCATGGACGCCGCGCAGGTCGGCGCCCCGGGGGTCGCCGGGGAAACGGGGTCGCCGGGGGCGACGGGGTCGCCGGGGGCGACGGGGTCGCCGGGGGCGACGGGGTCGCCGGGGGCGACGGGGTCGCCGGGGGCGACGGGGTCACCGGGTCGCCCAATCATCTGGTCACCAGGGCGCCGGGTTTCAGGGTCACTGGGTCATAGAGGCACCGGGTTGCTGGATCACGGGGTCACCGGGGCCAGGTCACCGGGGCCAGGTCACCGGGGCCAGGTCACCGGGTCGCCGGGTCACGGGGTCACAGGATCACCGTGACCCCTCCGCCCCTCCCCCCCAGGTGCGCCTGGAGTGGCCCACGGACCTGGCCGTGAGCCCGCTGGACAACTCGCTGCTGGTGCTGGACACCGGCGTGGTGCTGCAGGTGTGGGACGGGCGCCGCGCCCGCGTCGTCGCCGGGCGCCCGCCGCACTGCACGGCGCCCGGCGGCGTCGAGGCGCCGCCGGCGTCGGCGCCGCTGGAGTCGCCGGTGGCGCTGGCCGTGTCGCCGGACGGCGCGCTGCACGTGGCCGAGACGGACGGGCGCCGGCTGCACCGCGTGCGGCGCGTCGCCGCTCCGCGCCAGGGGGCGGAGCCGGGGGACGGCGGCAGCGGCGCCGTCACGGTCGCCGGCGGGGTGGCGCCGTGCGACTGCGGGGCTGATTCCGGCGCCGGTGGCGGCGGCGGCGGCGCCGGTTCATCGTCGTGTGCGTCTTACCTATCCGTAGACTCACACAGAGACCCATAGACTCACACAGAGACCCATAGACTCATCACATAGAGACCCATAGACTCATCACACAGAGACCCATAGACTCATCACACAGAGACCCATAGACTCATCACACAGAGACCCATAGACTCATCACACAGAGACCCATAGACTCATCACACAGAGACCCATAGACTCATCACACAGAGACCCATAGACTCATCACACAGAGACCCATAGGCTCATCACACAGAGACCCATAGGCTCATCACACAGAGACCCATAGACTCATCACACAGAGACCCATGGACTTGTTGTTGATGTTTGTTGATGATGTTGTTGTTGTTGTTGACTTCAGCCCCGTGCGAGTGTTTTGGAGGGGACGGGGGCTCCGCTCGCGACGCTCGGCTCCACTCCCCCACGGCTCTCGCGTTCTGCCCGGACGGCTCCCTCTACATAGCTGACTTGGGGAATGTCAGGGTATGCACAGCACACACACACACAGCACACACACACAGCACACACACACACAGCACATAGCACACACACAGCACACACACACAGTACACAGCACACACACACAGCACACACACAGCACACACACACACCACACACACAGCACACACACAGCACACACACACAGCACACACACACACACACCACACACACAGCACACACACAGCACACACACACAGCACACACACAGCACACACACAGCACACACACAGCACACACACAGCACATACACACAGAACACACACACACACAGCACATACACAGCACACACACAGCACACACACACACAGCACACACACACAGCACACACACACACAGCACATAGCACACACACAGCACACACACACAGTACACAGCACACACACACAGCACACACACAGCACACACACACACCACCCACACAGCACACACACAGCACACACACACAGCACACACACAGCACACACACACACACACCACACACACAGCACACACACAGCACACACACACAGCACACACACACAGCACACACACAGCACACACACAGCACACACACAGCACACACACAGCACATACACACAGAACACACACACACAGCACATACACAGCACACACACAGCACACACACACACAGCACACACACACACACAGAGCACACACAGCACACACACACACAGCACACACACACACAGCACACAGCACACACACAGCTCCCTCTACATAGCTTGGGGAATGTCAGGGTACGCACAGCACACACACAGCACACACACAGCACACACACACAGGGCACACACAGCACACACACATAGCACATACACAGGGCACACACACAGCACACACACAGCACACACACAGCACACACACAGCACACACACAGCACACACGCACAGGGCACACACACAGCACATACACACGGTACACACACACAGCACATACACACAGCACACACACACACAGCACACACAGGACACACACAATACACACACAGCACACACACACACAGCACACACACACAATACACACACACACACACAATACACACAGCACACACAGCACACAGCACAGGAGGTGTCTATAGCGAGGTATCCGTGACCAGGTGTCCATGACGAGGTGTCCATGACGAGGTGTCCATGACGAGGTGTCCATGACGAGGTGTCTCTGACGAGGTTTCTGTGACGAGGTGTCCGTGACGAGGTTTCTGTGACGAGGTGTCCGTGACGAGGTGTCCGTGACGAGGTGTCCGTGACAAGGTGTCTATGACGAGGTGACCATGACGAGGTGTCCGTGACGAGGTGACCATGACGAGGTGATCATGACGAGGTGTCTATGACGAGGTGTCTATGACGAGGTGTCTGTGACCAGGTGTCTATGACGAGGTGTCTATGACGAGGTGTCTGTGACCAGGTGTCTATGACGAGGTGTCTATGACGAGGTGTCTGTGACGAGGTGTCCGTGACGAGGTGTCTGTGACGAGGTGTCCGTGACGAGGTGTCTATGACGAGGTGTCTGTGACGAGGTGACCATGACGAGGTGTCTATGACGAGGTGTCTATGACGAGGTGTCTATGACGAGGTGTCCATGACGAGGTGACCATGACGAGGTGACCATGACGAGGTGTCTATGACGAGGTGTCTATGACGAGGTGTCCATGACGAGGTGACCATGACGAGGTGTCTATGACGAGGTGTCTATGACGAGGTGTCTATGACGAGGTGTCTAGAACCGAGAGGGCCGTCCGTGCTGCCCGCTGTCCAGGTGCGTGTGGTGCGTGAGCCGGGCCCCATGCGGGAATCCACCTCCTCCACCTCCTCCTCCACCTCCTCCACCTCCTCCTCCACCTCCTCCACCTCGTCGTCGTCGTCCACCTCGTCGGGGAGGCTGCTGGTGCCGCTGCCGGCGGAGCAGGAGCTGCTGGTGTTCAGCGCCGCGGGTCGCCACCTGAGCACGCGGAGCCTCGTCACGGGAGCCACCCTCCTCAGCTTCTCCTACGGCGGCGGGGAGGGGGGCGACGAGGGGGGGGGAGGGGGCCGGGCCGCTGTCGTCCGTCACGTGAGCGCGACGCGGCACGCGTGTACACACGCACACACACGTGTACACACACACACATGTACACACACACGCATGTACACACACACAACAACAACAACAACAACAACCGCCATTCGCCACTAAGTGGCGGTGACGTCACCACGACGCTTGTGCCAGGCTATGTGCACCCTGAGGCCACGTGAAGTGTCGAACGCCCGCTGGCAGGAGGTCACGGGGCAGACCCAGGTGCCACGGGTCGACTGACTGAGATGACTGGCTGATGCACCACCTGTGCCCCCTACTGTGCCAACCTGCTGTGCTTTAGCCACCCGGCGCTCCGCTCGTTGTTGTGAGCGTCGCTCCTCCGCCCTCCGTTGTTGTTGGAGGGCGACTGCCTCCAACTGCCCAGTAGCAGCGTCCTTCACGAGCCTCCTCCACAGAGGCCGATCTTGACACCGCTGGTACCAGTCATCGGCAAGTCCACTCAGCTCCACGTCCTCCTGTACCACATCACTCCATCTCTTCTCTAGCCCGTACCACGCCCGTTTAGCCCCCTCGATCCGGCCGAACAAAAGCTGTTTAGGCATGCGGTGGCTGGGCATGCGGGCTACAGTGAGGGAAAAAAAGTATTTGATCCCCTGCTAATTTTGTACGTTTTCCCACTGACAAAGAAATGATCAGTCTATAATTTTAATGGTAGGTTTATTTGAACAGTGAGAGACAGAATTAACAACAAAAAAATCCAGGGAAAAACGCATGTCAAAAATGTTATAAATTGATTGGCATTTTAATGAGGGAAATAAGTATTTGACCCCTCTGCAAAACATGACTTAGTACTTGGTGGCAAAACGCTTGTTGGCAATCACAGAGGTCAGGACGTTTCTTGTAGGCTGGCCACCAGGTTTGCACACATCTCAGGGAGGGATTTTGTCCCACTCCTCTTTGCAGATCTTCTCCAAGTCATTAAGGTTTCAAGGCTGACGTTTGGCAACTGGAACCTTCAGCTCCCTCCACAGATTTTCTATGGGATTAAGGTCTGGAGACTGGCTAGGCCACTCCAGGACCTTAATGTGTGTCTTCTTGAGCCACTCCTTTGTTGCCTTGGCCATAGTGCTTTGGGTCATTGTCATGCTGGAATTACCCATCCACGACCCATTTTCAATGCCCTGGCTGAGGGAAGGAGGTTCTCACCCAAGATTTGACGGTACATGGCCCCGTCCATCGTCCCTTTGATGCGGTGAAGTTGTCCTGTCCCCTTAGCAAAAAAATACCCCCAAAGAAAAATGTTTCCACCTCCATGTTTGACGGTGGGGATGGTGTTCTTGGGGTCATATGCAGCATTCCTCCTCCAAGCACGGCAAATTGAGTTGATGTAAAAGAGCTCCATTTTGGTATCATCTGACCACAACATTTTCACCCAGTTATCCTCTGAATCATTCAGATGTTCATTGGCAAACTTCAGATGGGCATGTATATGTGCTTTCTTGAGCAGGGGGACCTTGCGGGCGCTGCAGGATTTCAATCCTTCACGGCGTAGTGTGTTACCAATTGTTTTCTTGGTGACTATGGTCCAAGCTGCCTTGAGATCATTGACAAGATCCTCCCGTGTAGTTCTGGGCTGATTCCTCACTGTTCTCATGACCATTGCAACTCCACGAGGTGAGATCTTGCATGGAGCCCCAGGCCGAGGGAGATTGACAGTTCTTTTGTGTTTCTTCCATTTGCGAACAATCGCACCAACTGTTGTCACCTTCTCACCAAGCTGCTTGGCAATGGTTTTGTAGCCTATTCCAGCCTTGTGTAGGTCTACAATCTTGTCCCTGACATTCTTGGAGAGCTCTTTGGTCTTGGCCATGGTGGAGAGTTTGTAATCTGATTGATTGATTGCTTCTGTGGACAGGTGTCTTTTATACAGGTAACAAGCTGAGATTAGGAGCACTCCCTTTAAGAGTCTGCTTCTAATCTCAGCTCGTTACCTGTATAAAATACACCTGGGAGCCAGAAATCTTTCTGATTGAGAGGGGGTCAAATACTTATTTCCCTCATTAAAATGTAAATCAATTTATAACATTTTTGACATGCGTTTTTCTGGATTTTCTTGTTATTCTGTCTCTCACTGTTCAAATAAACCTACCATTAAAATTATAGACTGATCATTTCTTTGTCAGTGGGCAAACGTACAAAATCAGCAGGGGATCAAATACTTTTTTCCCTCACTGTACATGACCCAGCCAACGCAGCCTTGCCTGCCGGAGGAGCTCACCGATGGGGCTTTGTCCAGATCTTGCAAGGATTTGTGAGCTCCTCACACAATCCATCCTGGTTAACCCAGGTTGGATCTTAGGCAGGCCAGCCTAAATGTTTCTAACCGGCGAAGATGTTAGGGGGGTCCACGTTTCGCAAGCGTAGAGAAGGGAGGGAATGACCGTGGCCGAGAAGACCCGAAGCTTCGTGCGGAGCGACAGACCAGGTAGCTTCCACACAGCAGCGTTACACAACCGATGGAAAGATATTGCCGCTCGACTGATTCGGAGTGAGACCTCTGCTGTCAAAGCTGGTGGACAGCCCCCAGCAACAGCCGTCCCCACACGTCACTCCCCCCCGTCTGTCTCCCCCGCCACCCCCCACCAGCGACGCCGACGGCAACGTGCTGCGCGTGGAGCGCGGGGGGGGCTCCTCCCCCGCGGTGGGGGCCGAGGGGGGGGGCCCCCCTCCCCCCGCCGTCTCGGGCGGCGAGGCGGTGCGGCTGGTGGCGCCGGGGGGGCTGGCGACGGAGCTGGCGGTGTCGCCGGGAGACGGAGCGCTGCTGGGACTCGTCAGCCAGGGCCGGTGGCTGGCGCGGCTCGCGTACCACCCGGCCGGCGGCACGGGTGGCGGCACGGGTGGCGGTGGTGGTGGTGGCGGTGGCGGTGGTGGCGGTGGTGGTGGTGGCGGTGGCGGTGGTGGCGGTGGTGGTGGCAGTGGTGGCAGTGGTGGTGGTGGCGGTGGTGTCGGTGGTGGCGGTGGGCTGCTGGCGTCCCGCACCGACCACAACGGATGGAGCACGTTCTACGAGTGAGGCCCGCCGCACTCTGGGAGCTCGAGCGCGGTGCCAGTTGGCGGGGTTGGCGGATTGCGCTCGGATGTTGACGGGAAACTCCGCCCCCACCCCCCTTTCCTGTGGGTGGGCGTCGAGAAGGGGGGAGGGAGGAGGGGGGGGGAGGAGGAGGGGGGGAGGAGGGGGAGGAGGAGGAGGGGGGAGGAGGGGGAGGAGGAGGGAGGGGGAGGAGGGGGAGGAGGAGGAGGGGAGGAGGAGGAGGGGGGAGGAAGGGGGAGGAGGAGGGGGTGGAGGAGCCGCTACAGCAAAGTGTGGAGACTAAGCTCCATCTGTTACATCTTTACGGGATAGCGCATTGCCCCCGCATGTGTCGGTCTTCTCCGGCTTTTCCGATTTCCTCCCATGCTGTAGAATATCATCATCATCATCATCGTCGTCGTCGTTGTTGTCATTATTTATACACTCTTTGTACTGTCACCAACCCCCACGTTGCTTAACCCTCAACCTGCCCCCCCCCCCCGCCGCCACACCCCCCGCCCCCTTTCTCTCACCCCCCACCCCCTCCCCCCCCTCCCCCTCCCCCTCCCCACCCCTCTCCCCCCCCTCTCCCCCCTCTCCCCCC